GCTACTACCACCAATATGACGACTACCACTACTCCTACTACGACGGCTATTGGTACGACCGCTACTACGAGTACGAGTACGACGACGACTACTGCTGCTACTACTACCACTACCACTTCGGCTGCAACTGCTACAGGTACGAATGCGACTACGAGCGCGACGACGACTACACTACGACTGCTACGACTCCTGCGACTACTACGACGACTGCTTAATGCCTCGCCAATCGCATCCGCCTCTTCGGCCACGTGGCTGTTGTAGCCTATGGCGCTGCTGGCGTCGCTTGCGCTGCTGCGCGCGAGCTCCGCAGGGGGGTCGCGGCGCGCGCGAGCGATCGCGCCAGGGCAGCAACATACGTATGAACGCCCGGCCCCATGCAACGCATGCGCATCACCCACTCACCCAGAAGAGGCTCGTTAATAGGAGTCCTGTCGCCCCAAGTACCTGGGCGACGTGCATTGCGAACGTAAGCGGCTTGCCGCTCGTGGATGGCATGCCATGGTTACTCCACAACGAGCCGCGTCTAACTTGTGTCCACGCATGGCCGGCTGCGCTCATGCATGTGCCTGTATGTGTATATATGCAAACATGCATATATGAAACATGCTGCGTATGTCTCACCCATGCGCGATTCGTTCGCATGGTCATTGCGACTCATCCGCATGTGTTGTGTGGTCCAGTCGCAGTGGCATCAAACGTGCCACCTGCCAAAATGAATCCTAGAGCATGGCCTAGATCGCGCGAGCGCTAACCCATCGCACCCCCCGCTGGAACCCACTCGGCCTGGCCCTGCACCTTCGCTAGCTCAGGCTGGGAGGGCGCGGGCGGGGTGGCGATGGCGCGTCACGCCCGCAAGGCCACCTCAGACATGAATCAGGATATACACAGAATACACACATACACATAACTGAATACACCCCTAACCACCCCAGGTCTTCACCGGCCAGCTCCCCGTTGACGCCGAAGGATCGCCCTGGCTACCTCGGAGGGCGCAACGCGCGACTGGCGCGTCGGACGGGCCGCGAGACTGCGGCAGCACGTGCCCCGCCACGGCGTGAAACGGCACAGCTTCATCCACGGGGCGGCCTTGCAAAAGCGCCGCCGCGCGCGTGCGCGCGCGCGCCGCCGGCGCCCGCGTCGCTGCGCTGGCCGTCGCCCGGGCATCTGTAGCTGCGTCTGCAGCTCCCGCTGCGCCAGCTGCGTCTGCAGCTCCTGCTGCATCGACTGCGCCTGCAGCTCCTGCTGCGCGATCAGCTGCGGCTGCAGCAACTGCCGCGCCATCAGCTGCGTCCGCAGCCCCGGCTGCGCCACCAGCTGCGCGCCGCGCGGTCAGCTGCTCCAGCAGAGCCCGCCTCTGCCGCGCGATCAGCAGCCTCTGAAACGCGGCCAGCTGCTCCTGCAGGGCATGCCTCAGCGCGTGCGTCTGCATCTCTACGTGCCCAGCCTGCCTCTCGAGCTCATTGCTCCGCGGCGCTGCCGCGGCTGCTGCCGCGGGTCGGCGCGGGCTGCGCGAGCGCGACATCTGGGCCGCCGGCCTGGCGCCGCCGCGCAAGCCCGACCTCCGCGACAGCGGGTGCTTGAGCAAGAACGGTAACCGACGGGCGCGCCCAACGCATGCGCTGCATCTATGAGCGCGAGCGCGCTCTCGTGCACTCCCCTAACCGCGGCTGACGCAGGGCGCAGACCAGCGACATTGTCGCACGGCAGCGCCGATGCATCGACGCACTTCGGCATGGAGATCGATTTTCCATGTCGAGCGCTCGCAGGTCGCCCCGCCCGCCATCGCTCATGCCCCGCGGCGCTGCACGCGCCCCCCCCCGCGCGCGCTGCGCGGGCGCCGCCCCGATGGCGACCGCGCGCGCAGAACCTGCCCGCTCGCCCCGGCCCCGCCCGCGCCCCTCATACCCCCCCCCCCCCCCCTGAACTCGCGCGCGCGGTGCCCCCCACCCCCCCTCCGCATTCGCCCATCCATCGCGCTGCCTACTGCGGCGCGCGCGCGCCCCCCCCCCCCCCGCGCCCGCGGCCCCCCGCCACCCCGCAGGGGAGTTGCAACCCTGGCCAGACAACGCGTGCACTTACGCGTGGATGCACGCGCTGCGCGCCGAGAGCTGCGCGGCCAGACGCGCAGGCGAATCGCGCACCCACTGGGTACTTCTCCGCGCAAACAGCCCATCTCCAGAAAGCGCAACGCATGCCCCTACACGAACTACCGCTCAATGCGCGCCAGCGCGTTCTATCCGCGCGCGCCCCACGGCCCTGCGCGCGCTGCGCGGCGTGAAACTGCCTTGCCCCGCGCCGCGTCGGCGGGCGGGCGCTCTGCCGACGGCGCGGCGTCGGGGCCCGCGCCTGACGCCGCGCCATTATCATCGTCGCCCTCGTCGGCGAGCTCCATATTGTCACCCCACCCCCCTTCTCGGGCGATGCCCCTTCGTCGTCGTCGCCCCCATCTCCGCGCGCAAAAACCATGCCGCGGTTTGAATATCTTCAAGCAATTCACAAAGGCTCTGGCTGATGAGAGCACCCGGCCACTTCGATGGCCCCGTCTGGGCGCGCCGCTTGCCCGCGGCTGCGCCCGCCATCGTCGCGGCGCACGCCGCCAGCGTGCCGCGTCGAAACCCCGCTGCGCGAGCGATGGCGCGCGGCCGCTTCTCGCGCGCGAGGCGCCCCTCGAACGCAGCGGGCGCGGCGGTACAAAGCGCGCAGCTGCGCTGCCGCAGCTGAGATCCACTCCGCGAACGGCGCGCGCCCCTTGCGCGGCGAGCACGCGCGTCATTGCGATGCCATCGCACTCCATCTCTGCAAACTTCGGATCACCAGGAGCGCGCTCGACGCGACGCGCGGAGGATGCAGGGCGACGCAGTGTGGCAATTTTGACTCGTCGATGCGTCTTCTACGCGCATTGGTTATCCGATCTCGCGTGAGGCCCTGCAGAAGTGCATCTTCTCGCTTCAAATGGTCCCGCGTGCGCTCGTTCACTGCGGCGCCACCTCGCCGAAGACAGGATCGTCTGCGAACGACGTTTGCCCGTGCTTCCGGGGTGTGCCCGACAAGGGGCGCCAGCTTGCTGTCGCCCCTTCGGATCGCTACGAACTGATGCCCAGCTCTGAGCACGACTCCCCGTTGCACCCGCGCCTCTTCGAGGCCTCCGCCATCGATGGCCAGCTCGCGGCTCGCCCGCGCAGACGTGACAGACCAAGCAGACTCGATTGCAGCTGAAGCGATGTTCGCGGCTATTGATCGGGCCAGAACGGCTGCGACACGTTGCGACGACGTTGCCAGCGGCAGCGATGAACGCGACGGTGCAGCGAAAACATCGCTGACTGCATGTTCAATGAGACGACGCCACTGACTCCAAGCTTGCTTCTACGTCAAAATGTCGAGGGCCCGCGTCAGCAGCTGCACCTGCGCGATGGCGCCGCGGCTGCGCGCGGCAGCGCATGCAGTCTGCGCGCGGTGCATCAGCCCTTCCTCGCAACTGCCTTCTGGGGCTCGGCGCGCGCCCTGGCGGGCGCTGGCTTGCCCGCCAGATCAGCCATCGCATCGAGGGACGCGCGCGGCTGGTCATCAGCGTCGAGTGCCCTGCCGTTGACCAGCACTGGGATATTCGCGCCCACCTCGGTCGCAATGCGTTTCAGGACCACGTTCGGCTTGTCGCCATCTGTGACCAGCCAGAACGACGCCACCGCAGAGTCTCGCTGTTCCTTGACACCGCCGGCGCCAGCGTTGCTGGCATCCACGTTCTCGAACTTGACCCGGGGAGATAAATAACGCCACGTTGCAAATGTGGTTATTGGCCAGGCCTGCGTTGGTCTTCAGGCGCACGCAGACGCCCGACGCATCGCCCGTCTGCAGTCCCAGCAAGATCGAAGACGTGATCGGGACGAAGCTGAGTTCATCCTTATCGAACTGCTTCTTGACCTGCAGGGCGCGATAATTCATCGGCCCATTAACGGCTCTGAGGTGCTCTGTGAAACCGACGCGTTTGTCAAAGAGCCCGTCTGGCGCTAGCTTGATCTGACCCCCCTCGGCACCCCCGCGCCGGTCCATGCACCTGGCCCGGCGGCAGGCGCCAAAGCCGTCGACGTTGTCTTTCTCCGCGCCATGCGCAACAAACATGCCTTGCAAGAAGTCGCATGCGCCCCTGCCGCGCTCCTCGATGCCCCCCCTGAACACCGTGCGCGGTGGTGCCCGCGAATGCGTTGCGCAAGTCGTCGGCCAGGCTGATCCGGCCGCCTGCCTGGTTCGCCCGCCTCGCTGCGGTGTCGGGCCTCGCGTCCGACTGCGCAGCGGCCGCGGCGGATTGCTTCTGCCGCTGCTCCCGCGGGCAAGGAGCCGCCATGCCGACGACGTCGCGCGCCCCCCCGCCCGTCGAAGCCGACGCCCCCGACGTCGGCGCAGGCGCTGCCCCAGCGCCCGAAGGGCTTGCTGGAAGCGACGCGCGCCGCCCGGAAATCGGCGAGGCCGACGGCGGCGCCACCGGCGCAGCTGAGACCAATCGCGCGCGCGATCTCTCGCGACGTCATCGACGCCCCCTCCCCCTGCATCGCTATCGCTGTTTTTTTAACGACCGGCCAAGAGCGTCAAAATGTCGCATGGCTTCAGCAAAGCACGACTAAAACTTTGCGAATATTTCTACGATGCCGAACTCGCCGCCTTCGCGCAGGCGAGTCGGAATAGCGTCGCAGCGGCCCCCGCCGCGTTCACGCGCTTCGCGCGTCGACTGACGCCCCTCAATTCGCGCTGGGCCGAAAGGTCTGCAGCGCCGCCGCTCGGCCCTTGCGCGCGCGGAGATCTGGCATCTCGCGCTCGCGCGCGTGCCCAGGCCCCCATCGCCGCCTCGCGCTGCGCGTTGCCCCAATCAAGTAATTCTCATGCTCGGGTAGCTGCCAGCTTCTGTTTTGCGGATGCCGCAATCTTGGGCGACTTCCAAGCTGCTTTCGCGCTCGGCCGCGGCTTGACCCGCGTTCCCAGCTTTCTGGGCTATGGCGGCGCGAATGAGAACGCTTCCATCAACTGCCACTTGAATACGTCCCACGCGATGCCCTCATTCACCGCGCCATCGCGCACCTCGAGCCGCGGCACCGAAACCCCAACCACCTTGCGACATCGCCGCAAACCTTCGCGGCCCGCTCGTGGATAGGCGACGAATGCCAGATGCGTCGAAGCCCCTGGAAAGCGCGCCCAAGAGTAAAGAAAACGCACTTGCCGTCGTCCTCATGAACAGGCAGGCGCCCTGCGCTACCATCTTGGCGTTGAAGGCTTTGACCGCAGTGAGCGCTGCAATGTGCGGCGGCGGGGATCCGGCGCGATTGTGATGGCCGAGTCTGTCACTTCCGACGGCGCAACGCCATTCTCGCACCTTGAATACAGTTGGGATGTACTCTTTCCTTGGTCAGCCTATTGTTTGTTATAGTGCTGCTTCTGTTTCCTCATACCAGCCAACAACCAAAGCATCATCTCTGCCAAATGCCTTTTTTTCCGCAGCCATGCGGGGCATGCGTGGCTCGATAAGCTCACGCGCTCTATAACATCATGCAGGGCACGCGACGTCATGTTGCAAGATGTGCGTTGAACGACAACGACGCACTCTTCTTTGAGCCGCAAAGTTCTACGGAGGCCCGTAGTATGTTCAACGTGCCAACGCGACTTAAGTTCGATATCCCTGCATGCGACGCAAGAGCTCGCGTTCCTGCGTGGGGACGGCCTAGAAATCTGAGCATGACGCTTCCAAAAATCAATGGCAATATTGCGTTTCTCTGACGCATGTCAATTACGTGGCGAAATTACATTGAATTCAAATTGCGCCTCAAGCAATCGCTGGACATAGAACTTTACACGTGTAGCCCAACTATGACATGTGATAACTGACGCGTAGCAGACTGAATGTCACATACAATGTAATTGTAAACATTGGTTGACAGTTATAATCACTCTGGGTCTCAAAGAAACTCTAAATCAACGGCGCTCGGGGTCACGAGCCGCGGGTCGTTATAGAAGACAGCTCGGATATGTGTTGATTTCGCCCTGCCGGTCAGAGGCTACGGCTGGCCCAATGTTTCAAACATGTTTTTCCAAAGTTGCCACCTCGCGCTCGTAGTATTCCCCCGCCTGCAGGTCCTGAGTGGCGCGTGCCATGAATTGCTGGAATAACTATGAATTTTCCCGTTTCGGGGGCAGCTAAGAAAATAGTCGCCTCTCTCTCAGCCAACCGGCCACCCGCGGCGCTGCGGAATCTGATTGCCCGGCGCCCAGCACCCGTAGGCGGCGAGGGACCCGGAGGAGGGCCCGAGGGACCTTTACCATCAGTTGGGTCCTCGTCTGCCTCCGCCCTCGCCTGCTCTCCTGCTCCTTCGTCGTGGGCAAGAGGCGGCGGCTCCATGGCCTGTCCCTTCGCGCCGGGTTTCCGCTCGATGGCGCGGATCCCCCTCGCGGACGACGCGACGCCGGTCCCAGAGGGCCCTAGAAAAACCTAACCAGGGCCCATGAGGGTTCTTAGACGGTTCCAGAAGCGCCCCAAACACGCCCCAACAGAGTCGCAAAATGCTGTTCTGGGGGCTTTCGATGGGCAGTGCTAATCGATGTCCTCCAAGATTGTCCCTAGAAGGCCTCCGAGGCTCTCGTTAGGACCCCAAGAAGGCCCTGAAGAGGCCTCCAAGAGGCGCACACGAGGCCCCAAAGACGCCCACAGAGGCCCCAAAGACGCCCACATAGGCCCCAAAGAGCCCCGACGAGGCCCCACATAAGTCCTAAGAGGCCACCGAAAGCGTTCACCGATGCTTCCCGAAGTGCACAAATAATGCGACGTTCCCCGCACTAGGGCAGCTCCCCTAGGCATCGTTGCTGGATGGCCTAGTGGGGATACGCGACGCGTAATAATTCCGAAGGATGTCGTGCCTTGGCGATGAGAAAACTCCCTGAGGACCAAAAACGGACTAAGAACTCCCCAATACATCGATCAGTCATGGTGATCCCATCCCTCCACGAAATGATCTTCGATGACCGAACCTCGAATATCGATCCTCGATCATCCGTGCTGGGCTCGAACATAGAAACTCGATAATCTGAATCCTTCGTGCTGACCGTCACCGTCACCTGAGGGGCAACGACAGGCGGGGTGGGCGGGCTGGCTCAGGGGGGGGGCACGGATCTGCAATCGGCAACGCATCGCCGCCATGTCGGCGACAGGCCCTCAATTCGAATCCGCACGCTCCTGCGCGGGAAAGGGCTGTCGGGCCCCACTCGGCGATCAGCGGGCGATTGAGGGTCGATGCGTCCCCCCATTAACTTATCACCTTCACGTTGCCACTGATCGAAGCTCGGCTCAAATCAACACAAACTTTCGAAGGTCCGCGCAGATTTCTTGGATCGGCGTCGGACCCCTATTCCATGGCGCGCTCCGCGCGCCAAGGCTGGCGCCAGCGGCGCCGCAAGGTGGGGCCCAGCGCAGATCCAAGACATCCGCGCGGACCTTTCAGAGCTAGGTTTGTGCCGACTTGTGTTCCTGTCCCCCTATCGCTGCCACGTCGTTCGATGTCCCTCCCATCGTTGCCCGTTCGTTATGGTGTTGCCGAGTTGTGTTCCTGGCCAACCCCTATCGTTCCTGTCCTCCCGATCGCTGCCCCTGACCCTTTCCTCCTTCCTCTCTGACAGTGAAGGCGAGATATCCAGGAGAGGGTCGCCGGGCCCGAGAGGCCGGCGACAAGACCTGGCCGATGGCGACCGCTAGGAAGGTCATGACGGCCAGCGCGGCGATTGCTCCGAAGAAGGTGAGCACCTCAACCCGACGACGGCGACGACGACGAAGACGACGACCTCGAACACCTCATCCCTCTCTCTCCTTCCTACGCCTCCTCTTCCTTCCCTTCATCCCTCCTTTCCCCTCGCTCCCTATCATGCTCCCCCTCATTCCTCCATCCCTCCTCCTCCTCCTCCTCCTCCAACTTATATCTCTTCTCCCCCTTCTGCCCCCTCCTCCTCCCTCCTCCTCCGTTGGGTCCTTGGGTCGTTGGCGCACCACGTCCCGCTGACGCAACACGCGGTTCAAAACGGTTTGGACACCCCATTGCACTTAAGATGGTCTCTCACGAACAAGCTGGAAGGATCGCCCGGACGACGACTTTGAAGACGGGTTAACCTCGGGTTTCAGAATCGGCGGAGAGCCCGCGGGAGAAGTGAGAGGGGGCGGGCCTTCTCAGACGGTTCAGAAATCCCCAGGACTTCTGAGAAGTTTTCTAAGACTTCCCCGAAGGCTTACGAAACTTCGCAGAAGGCGCGTGGGCTTCTGAGAAGTCCCGCCGCCTTCCGAGACGGCCTTCTCCTCGTTTCCTCCGCTCGCTCGCCGCCGACAGAAAGCTGAAAGATTTGCTGGCTGACATATTCCGAGGGCCCCCTGTGCAGACCTCGGCTGGGAGCTTCACCATCTGCGTGCCGAGCGCTCCACAAACAGAACACCAGACCAATCCCCATGCTCCACACCAAAGGAGGCGGGAATAATGTGCGAGGCGGGCGGGGCTGGGCACACCAGTGCACGGGAACGCACGGATCGTTCCTTGTGACCAATCTCGAACTTCTCATATGACGCAGGAGGATCTCTTGCTCACCTGAAAAATACTGCGGCCATGGGACTTTGGCGCAAGCTCGAGCTCCGCAAGAGGATTGAGCCGCTAGGCCCTGCACCTGTGCGCGCCCCGGAAGTTCATCCTGGACAAGGCACCACCGATCCCAGACAACAGAAGGGCCCGACCATGGAAGGACAGATCTTGCGTCTTGAGCTTGTCCGCCAAGGCTTGGGGCATAGGGTGCGTTCGAGCTCCTCCTTTCGGTCGGCCCCGCGATTGCCTCTCTGGGCCCGCCAGGCGCAACCCTGGGACAAGGCTTTGGCCCAGGACTGGTGGATGCGAGTGTTCTCAACCGACACTTCGGCCGAAAGGTCCTGGAACTTGGCAGACAATCTGCCTCTAAAGCTCGGGGGAGGCCAGCTCCCCTACGGGGTGGTGAAGGCACTGGCCCCAAAGATCAACCACCACCTTACAATCACACGCACCGGTCACAAGCTCCACCATTGGGTAAGGCAAGGAACCATACATTGTACCGCACCCCCCCATGGCGATCCACTTGAACCACCCACCGCCCACCCAATGCGCTCCAGAAAGATGCCGCCAGGATGGAAAGCGGACCCGTCGATGGCGACGTTGCCGCTGAACACCCCTGGAGGGGAAGCACACGCCAGACTTGAGACGCTTGCGGACTGGGGGGGGGGGGGCGAAAAGCCAGATTGGGTACAAGGCAACTCGTGGTTTCTAGGTCTTACGGCGAAGCCTTCTAGATATACTCGACATCGTCATCCAAACGGCAGGGCAATCGACCGCGCGATGTTTGGGAACACTCATTTCACCGCACAACTTGCACTCGGGGGCTGACAGTCCCCCGATCCATGAACGACGCACACTGTGAAGGGGAGCGTCCAGCAACAGATCCTGCAAGGAACGCAGCCGCCGCCGCATGCTGACCAGTGTGGCGGTGCCGACGGAGAACATCTATGACAGGCTGGAGACGGGGATGGCCCTGCAAGGCGTGGCCGTGTGAGCAAAGGCCTTCCAGGCTCGTGACCAAAGAAATTTGGAGCCACGCTGGACCAACGACTTGAGAGACCGTTCCCACAGGACACCGAAAGCGCAGGTCAGGCCGTCGGGGTCATTCCAAACAATAGGGCGGTGGGGATCCCAGTCGAACCTCTGAAGGCAAGATGGGCAGCCTCACCAGGGCCATGAAGACTCTTACGGTCCAGCACGGGGTTCCTCTGGCATGCGCTGAACAGGCTGGTGAGGAGGCTCCTGGGCAGCCACTCCTTTTGCCACCAGATCTGGCGGAGGGGGGTCGCCTGAAAGGTCGGGACGAGGGTGGGGCCAGCGCACACGAGAAACTCCAATATCCTCGGGCGGCCTCGAGGGCACACCAAAAGCATTCCGAGCAATGACCGCAGGAAGCTGCTGCAATCTGCTATCAGAGCGGCCATGCACCAAAATTTTCTACATCCCAGCAAACAGACCCCCTTGTCTTGATGATACGCTTGGCCCCGATCGCTGCCGACTGGACCGCACGAAACCGTTGGGTTCGACGCATAAGTTTGGAAGCTCGCTCAAGGTGGACCTTGCTTGCCGTGCACACGGAACTCGAAACAAAGGCTCTTGGTGGACTCAACATACCTGAACCTCCACGTGCCTAAAGTCTTAGCTATAGCTTTAGATATTCTGCCTGTAGCTACCACCAACCCTTTGGTCTGAGATGTAACCAACACGCTCGCCTCGAGATGCGTGCATAGAAACAGACTGTCACCACCGAGACCATCGGCCGCTTGCTGGTTCCTGTCAGTCATACAGAAGGTGATGCTGTGGCCCGCCCGATTGAAAACTCTATTGACATTGACACTTGAGGCAGTGGGGTCGAGGATGTCAAAGCAGGAAACCTCGAGGAGGGTCGTGGCAAACGTACACCCCGCCAAGATAGCCTGCTTGGCAAACACACCCTCGAACTCATCTTATCCAGCATGAGCTGCCTCTGGCCGCGGTAGACACCAAGAAATGCCTAAGAATTAAAGCGTTGAACTGGCGACGGAAAGCTGCCTGGACAAGGAAGAGGTGGGAGTCCCACCCCCTCCTTCCCCTCCTCATCCCCATCCTCCTCCTCCCCCCTCTTCGTCCAGCCTCCAAGAGGCCAGACAAGGACCACACGACGGCTCCAAGTGCTCCCAGAGCCCTCCCAGGACTTACCCTAGGGGTAAACGCAGGTAAACCTGAGAACATCACCTAAGTGTTGGTGCGGTTTGGAGGCTTCAAGGTGGCCCCAGGATGGCCCAAGAGAGCCTCAAGAGGGGCCCAAGAGGCTCCTAAGACGGCCCCAAGAGGGCACCAGTAAGGGCCCCCAAAAAGCAGATTTCGATGCCCCCAGGACGGCGGAGGGGGATGCCCCCCTCCTTTTGATCGACGCCCTCCAAGATGGCCCCAAGAAGCCCTCAAGGCTTCCAAGAGGCCTCCAAGAGGGCTCCAAGAGCCTCAAGACCCCCCAACAGAGCCTCAAGAGAACCCCCAAACCCTTCAACGTCGCCCCAAGAGGGACCAGCAAGGCCACAAGAGAGCTGGAAGATAGAGGGCCTCCAGTGGACGCCAAGACGGCTGCCAGGGTCTTCGTCTTCCGCCTCCCCCTCCTTGTCTTCCTCGTCCTCATCCTCGTCCTCCTACAGGTCTTCCTTGATGGCATCGTTCTCGTCCTCGTCATCCTCTTCGTCCTCTGTCTCGTCCTCCCCATCGTCCTCCTCCTACTCGTTCTCGTCCTCGTCCTGGGGCTGATGAGGATGATCCAAAACTTGTTCCACTGCATGCTTCTCCACAGTCCTCTTCGAGGTAACTCAACTAGACATCGTTGCTGGATGGGCTGGCGGGGATGCGAGAGGCGCGAAGACTTACAAACCCCTGCTGAATAGGTCCATGTCGTCCAAAATGGCCACGAAAGGGCCCTCTAGGTCCACACCCTCAAGAGGGCTGCAAGACGGCTCCGGGAAGAACCCCAGGACCCCGAAGATGGCCCTCAGAAACTCCAAGAGTGCCTTAGAGGCCCTAGAAATGGGCGCAAGAAAGCTCCAAGGTGGCTCAAAGAGGCCCCAAGGTGCTCCAGGACATGAGCAAGTGCGATGAGTTCTATGAAGCATGCGAAGGAGAGTAGAAGAAAGAATGTGAAACAGAATGGGAAGAAACGGCCGCAAGAACATAATGAGTACATCTGCCGACTAAGCACCCCTTGGCCTCAACTCCACAGTCTGTCTGCGTCGTCCTTGAACCCCGATTAGTCCCCCAGCGAGCGCCTTGCGGCCGCCTGATTCGTCCTGGTTGCCGCCCGCGGCCAGGATGGCAGCGATGAAGAATGTCTTGTCCCCGATCTCGGACACGAAGGTCAAAAGGAACGCCTCCCCGTTGGATGCGGATATGGGGGGGGGGCCTCCTTCTCCTGGCCACGTTTGCACCACCAGGCCCGGAGGAACGTCAATCGATCAGCGTGCCCTGGCCTTGGTGTCGAGACGGCCCACGGCATTTCCCTGAATCCCACCTGTCCTCTGTGCAAAGAAGTTGTTGTTCAAACGCTCGCTTTCTCCGCATTGATCACTGCTCCGCCTAAATGAAACCCCCTCCCCCACTTGACTGGCCACCAGCCAAGAACCATGAGGCCCCCCCCACACCGGCGAAAAAATCTAGACCTTGAGCTGGCACACCGAGATCCCTTTTTCTGGGCGGTTGACAACAATGCCAGGGACAAAAATGTGTCCGCTTTGCGCTCGCCCACCACCCGCATCAAAAGTTCATGCAAACTGACTATGGGAGAATGCGCCACACGCCATGATGAACACCCCGCCACAACTTCGCGGTGGTTTTCGCCAAGGATGAGGGGGGGCGCGCGGCTGCAGCACGGGGCACGCTTGGCGCACAGCGACGTGTCCAAAATACGCGAGGATACGGGCATACGCTGGACGTTCCAGAACTTTGAAATACGAGCCTCCCGAAAGAGTGAGGGCATACCCTGCACAAGAAGCAAATTGCAAATATGCGTCGTATGTGTTTCCAAGGCGCTCGGCGTTGAACTCCCTGCGGCACCTTCATGTTGCTACTCGCTTGTGGACAATGCCAGCATGCGCGCGCAACTGTGCACGCTTGTGAAATCCGTCCCGCTGTTTCGAACGATTCTAAAAAAATGTTGATGTGTGATGAACGACTGCGCCGCAAACTGTTTACACCGGACGGCGTGTGCCGTCGAACCCGGTTTTGCTGGGGCCACACGAACTTACATTCAAAATGAAAGATGGGGCGATCTAAGACGCAAGTGCCAAGGTTGAGCATATAACTCCGCCCTCGCATGGGTGGTAGGATCGGTTCCCTTTCGAAAGGCAAATTCTTATATGATGCAACTTTTGTTGTGCAGTCTACGTTGTGCACTCTAAGTGGTGCAAGTGATTTCGGTTCGCAAGAAATTGTCAAACCCACTGTTCGCGCAATCATCCCACGCACCCACCCGCAATTTGGTTCGCAAAAGCCATGCGGCGGGGATTGTGATGACTGCTTGGTGTGCGCGCAACGGCCAGCTAGTTTGGCGCGACCGACGCGGCCGCGGTGACGTTGGCCGCTGGGCACATCCCAGCGAACATGTCACTGCGAGTCGGCGACTTGGGCGGGCGCGGTACCATGACAACATCGACAAACGACAACGGTAGACACGAGCGCTGGTGACGATGATGACAGCGGCGACAACACGGCCAGTGACGGCGCCGATGATGATCACGCCGGCGACGATGGCGGCATCCCCGCGACGGTGATGAAGGTTGTGGGAGGGGTTCGACACGCGCGCGGGGCCGACGCGCGAGTGGCCCGCTGGGCATATGCGACGCGGATCGTGTCCCCCCCCAGCACGCGCGCAAGGGCGTCCGAATGATATCGACATGCGGCGCGAATGACCTGTTTGCATGGGGATTCGCAAGAGTGCAAGCCAACATGCGTTTGTTTAATATATATATATATATATGTATATATATATATATATATATGTTGTTTATTGGGGGGGGGTCTGGCACGCGCCTGCGACAGCGCGCGCGCGCTCTTCGCCCCATCCGTGCGAAGGGATTCATGCGACAGCGCGCGCGCAAGGGCGTTCGGCCGATCACGGCACGCGCGCGCGCGAAACCCGTTTGGCTGCATTGCGTGGAATGTTACTAATTGTTATTCTTGAGAATTCGCAAGCGGGCGGGCGCAAGCTTTCTTGTTTGTGGTTGCGAATCTGTGTTGCGAAACCATAAGGTTCCATATGTTTTCGGGGCGCTCGATGTTGAAATCCCTGCGGAACCCGAAGTTCGAAACAGTTGTTGGCATGCGCGCGCGACGACGCTCGCGCGTGCACTTCATCGTATGTTTTTGCTTTTCCCTCACATGCTTAGTGGGGTTATGGTTGTCTTCCCTCCCGCGTCGCCCCCGCGTCTCCTCCTCGCCCCTCCCCCTCCTTCTCCTTCTCACACAGCACAGCACAGCACAGCGCAGCGCATCACAGCACAGCACAGCACAGTTCAGCACAGCACAGCACAGCTATGGTCTGCATCCCTGCCGCGGCGCACCCGCGTGTCCCGCGCGCGCACGCGCGCACGTACCCCCCCTCCTTCTCCCTCTCGCACAGCACAGCGCAACACAGCGCAGCGCAGAGCAGCATACAGCACATGACACACAGCACCACAGGGGTGCGCAGGGGGTGGTTTCTCACCGCGGCCACTACCCGTGACGGTCGCCCAAGGCACAGCAGGGATGGCATATTCTCGATACCATAGGGGGTGCGCAAGGTGTGGTCTCTCACCGCGGCCGCTATCCGTGACGGTCGCCCATGGCACAGCAGGCATGACATTTACTCGACACCATAAAAGGGTGCGCAGGGGGCGGTCTCTAACCGCGGCCGCTATCCGCGACGGTCGCCCACGACACAACAGGCATGGCACATTCTCGACACCGTAGGGGGGTGCGCAGGGGGTGGTCTCTCACCGCAGCCGCTTTCCGTGACGGTCGCCCATGGCACAGTAGGCATGGCAAAGGGCGGTCTCTCACCGCTGTCGCTATCCGTGACGGTCGTTCATGGCACAAACAGTGCGCAGGGGGTGGTCTCTCACCGCGGCCGCTATCCGTCACGGTCGCCCATGGCACAACAGACACGGCATGTTTTCGACACCATATGGGGGTGCGCAGAGGGTGGTCTCTCACCGCAGCCGCTATCCGTGACGGTCTTACAGGGCACAGCATGCATGGCAGATTCTCGGCACCGCGGGGGGTGCGCAGGGGGTGGTCTCCCACCGCTGTCGCTATCCGTGACGGTCGTTCATGGCACAAGCAGTGCGCAGGGGGTGGTCTCTCACCGCGGCCGCTATCCGTGACGGTCGTGCATGGCACAGCAGGCATGGCAAACTCTCGACACCATAGGGGGTGCGCACGGGGTAGTCTCTCACCGCGGCCGCTATCCGTGACGGTCGTCCATGGCACAACAGGCATGGCATATTCTCGGCACCGCCTGGGGTGCGCAAGGGGTGGTCTCTCACCGCGGCCACTATCCGTGACGGTCGTCCAAGGCGCAGCAGGCATGGCATATCCTCGACACAATAGGGGGTGCGCAGGGGGTGGTCTCTCACCGCGGCCGCTATCCGCGACGGTCGTCCAGGGCACAGCAGGCATGGCAGATTCTCGACACCATAGGGGGTGCGCAGGGGGTGATATCTCACAGCGGCCGCTATCCGTGACGGTCGTCCATGGCGCGACGGTATCGGCGGGGCAACGGCCACCAACATCATCCTCACATGCTTCACTGCAGCTATCATCAATCCAGCCATGCTACAAGTATGTCGGATTCCTCGGTAGCGTACTTGTTTTTCTGTGTTACTTTGTTTTGCAAGGGGCCCTGGGAAAATTATGGTTTTTGTTAAACGAATATTCGCCCATTATATCATTTGACACAGATGAAGGGGGGGTCAACGCCGGGATCGCCCAGGATGGCATTGGCTTATGCGTAGGATGGGCGATGGGGCAAAATCACACGAAGAATTGCAGAGCGAAAAATGAACCGTTAACCCCGGAAGGGGGGGGTAGATCCGAATTCTCATTTAAAAAGGAGAATATAGGTGGTGCGCTCTTGGTGACGCAGTCTACGCGGTGCATTGCATGCTGCGCCCTCTACGTGGTGCAAGTCACGTTAAGCCACCCATGTGGTGCAACTCGTGAGAGGTGCAGACTGCGTTGTGCATGCTATGCGGCGCAATCGATTAATAGTTTTTCTCGTCAGTGTCTCGCTCGGAGCTGCCTGGGGCATTTGCCGCGGCGCTGCGATTGGCCGGGGGCCGCCGCGGATCCAGTCTTGAAGCTTCTGCTTCGCCTGGAGGACTTCGCCCTCAAGCCTCCGCTCAGAGGCCCTGGGCCGGCAGCGGGCCGGCGGGGAAGAGCTCAGGGCAAACGTCGACGGGGCGAAATGCCATTCATCATTGCACACCACAGCCATGGTCGTGTTTTTCTCGCGAGCATCTTGCCCGAGGCCCGGCCTCGCGGGGCATCTGCAGAGACGCCGCCATTGACTGAAGGCCGCGGCGAAACTGGGGGTCGAAGCCCCCGCTGACCCGCGCGCGTGCGCCCCGCGCTCCAGCATTGCATTGAATTACCGTTTACTTCTATTTTCTAATGCTTGACACTTTCCTGCCATCGCCCCGCTGGCGCCAGGCTGACGAAGGGCGGGGGCGAGGAAGGAACGCGAGAGAGGAGGGCGCGCAGCCTTCAACTTGGCATGGAACTGCCCCTGACTTTGCCCGTCAGCACGAGATAAGACGGGCCCCGCAACGAGAGCGCCCCGCGGGCCGCGCGGCACGGGGGGCCCGACACGCCCATGTCAGGCCGACAAGCCCCAAATCTTAAACAGGCGCTGCCTCGAACGGGGCGGCCACATTGCGAGGATGCCTCTGGCTTCCACTGTAGGGGCCAGCGAGCCTCGCAAGGTCACCGACCTCGGTGATCGGTGACCTGCCAAATCCTCGAAGAGGCCTCGCGAGGTCACCGGCCTGTGTTCGATATACGGTGACATGCCCGGGGGTCCAAAGAGCCTCGCAAGGTCTCGGTAACATGACGGGGCCTTCAAAGGGCCCAACCACCTCGGTGACTTCCCGGGCTTTCAGCGGCCTTCGTAAGGTCACTGGCCTGGGCTTGAAACTCGGTGACCTGCCGGGGGCCCCAAAGAGCCTCGCAAAGTCACCGACCTCGGTGACCTGCTGGGGCCTTCAACGGGCCTCGCGAGGTCACCGACGTCGGTGACCTGCCGGGGCCTCCAGCGGGCCTCGAAAGGTTACGGGCCTGCGTTTGATCAGCAGTGGCCTGCGGGGGGTCCCAACGAGCCTCGCAAGGTAACGACCTG